GAGCATAGAAAGATAAGGAAATCAGGGTAGTACTAGCCCCGACACCATGTGCGTTGTCCCATATACATCTTTCTGTGTAAGTGATTGTTACTTTACCAAGACTCTGCCAAATTTATGATGATTTTGATGACTCCAGAACCTTGCATTACACACCATTACTTGCATGCTATATGATCAACTTTTCTGATCCATTCCACACCTTTTCTTTCACAATGCAATCGCATTACCAGTACTCAAGTTTATCTTTAATGTACCTGTATGTAACCATTCAGCTCATGGTGTAGATGAAGGACATGAAAGGTAGATTGCAATTTGCTTTTGATGGTAGATTTATACATTGGATTAAAATTTATTGTCCACTTTACACATTTACATTATACTGTACATGTCATTCCTCTTTTGAATTGATCAATGTCTGAATAAATTTGATTTAACAGTTCATGCGGTTATTGCCAAATTATGGGTTTTCCCCATTGTTTGCTTTATTTTCAACAGTTCTTAATTTTACATTTGTATAGTGCATGATACATGTACTTGTACATCATGTTTCCAAGCACTTTTGCTTTAATTAATGATGATTATTAGTATTACCGGTACTCCAATTTTTTGATTAAATATGCTCCCATCTTTTGATCAATTATTTCACTGTTTTTTTTTTTACAGTGTAACATTTTCTGGCTCAGGACGTGACATTGATGTAGTACACATACTGTGTAGGTTCCCAACCTCTCCCCCATTTCTGTATTGAACAGGGGCATGCGTTCTATATACCTTAAAAAATGCAATCCATACCTCCTGGGAAAGAAGTTAGTGTGGAACATTGTTTACATACATGAATGTTCCCCCAGTATTCATGTCACAGAAATGAAATAATCATTCATACAATTACAATGCTACATGTACATGTACATGTAGATAGGAAGTAGGAACACCGTCCATGGGATAGCACAGTGTACGTGTATCCATTGCATGTCTGTCTGGTGATGTAGACTACGATAGGTGAATTAGGACGTTAGAAGTGGGTATACACAAATGGGCATTCCGGAGGAGTCAGTACTGTCTTCTCCGGCGCATTCACGCATCACTGACACATTCATCAGACAGGTAATCAATGCTCTACTACCTACTCGCTCCCCGGCCAGATACAACCTAATCCCTAGTTTGCAGGCACGAACCCTTGGTAGTCCCAAACACAGACATACATGTAGGGTCTGAACTGTGAGACTGTAGACTGCATCCCATACTTAGGCCCTGTTATTAGGCTGGTTGAGAAAGCAAGAGACTGACAAAATTAGACTATATGTAGGCTCAAAGGGGAAATCCACATTAATATTAAATTGTTTTTAATAAAAGCAGAAAAATTGGAGAAACAATTTAGGGAAAGTTTGAGAAAAATTGGACAACAAAAAGGAAAGTTATGAATCTTTCAAAATCATGAAAATCTTGGAATCTTTGAGACAAATTTGGCAATGCGGTCAGAAAGTATGATGTCGTCCCCTCACAGTTCACCACTGATCTGAATGAAAGAATGACATGAAATCTCCATTTGCCTACTCTAAATGGAATTAGTAGAACTATCCTTATATATGGGGGTGCATGAAAGAACATGTAATCCGTGATATATGATCGAGATAGGCTTGAAGAAAATATATCTTTTGATCAAAATGAATTCATTCAACAAAGGATAAAATGTGAGGGATCGACATCATATTGAGATGCCGCGTTGCCAATTTGACTCACAGATTTGAAGTATTTCATGAAAAGCTATGGATTTAAAAAAATGCATAACTTTATTTATTGTCTGATTTTTCTCAAACCTTCACTAATCTGTTCTTCTCATTTGTTTTCCTCCTTGTATTAAAACAAATGTATTATCAGGGTTGACTTCCCTTTAATAGAACTATGTTAAGTATCAAATAGAGTCTATGGCTGTAGACTAGGCCCTCTCGCTCATCACCCTTCTCCCCTATCACAGATTCACTATTGAATTGCCGGATAGAATTTCAAATGCAAATTGGGATAAAGATATGGGGAAATATTATACCAAGATCAATCATTCGATTGTGGAGAAGAAGAAGATAGTTGCATTTGTTTGCAAGCCCTGGCTATACTGCTAATGACAATTAGAAAGAGAGCTTGCAAGTTTCTTGAGTTTTAGGTCGGTTGCCTGTGGTTCACATTGCAAATGGCCTACCAGGACTGCATACCGTACTGTATACCGTACTGTACAGTATGTATCCCGCCAGGCCTACAAGTTAGCAAAAGCTGCACATATGTCATTATTATCATTTAAATACCTGCCTGTTTTTAATATCATTTAATTATTTAAATATAAAGCATCCCTTGTTTATAAAATGTCAATTACATTGAAATGTTGAAAGATCTCAACATTCAAGTATGCTGGAAATAAAAAAATCAAATTGAGTTGAATCTCGGGGTTGATTTTTAAAGAGCCCGCATTTAGTTTTAAATTTATTTATTTTAAACGCAAATTTACATTTGTATTTGAACTTGTAAAAACAATATGTGTGTCTTTTTAAATTTTAATAGTAAGACTTGACTGATTTGTCTTATTACATACAGATAATTGCGTCATTAGAAAATATTGGGAATCAATTCTCCAATTTTTTAGTTGCTACATGTATGTGAACCTTATCCACTGAATGAACACTTGCTTCTGAATGCCAGTCGCCCAACATTGAAGTGTTATGCTTGATGTGCTTGGGTTTATGGAAGCGAATGTAGGTTACATGTACATGTAACTCGAGAAGTTCATCATAGCCAGTTGGTGTAAAGGAAATGAATGAATGCGTAGTTTGCTGCTTGGCTTTCCATGAAACGTCAGCTTTAGAAGAAAAAAAATCAATATGTCACCTTAACATTGTATTGATGTGCAAATAATATACATGTAGCGTTTGAGTATGTGTACATACAGTACGTACGTGTAGTGTACATCACACGCATCTGTTCATTCTCACGATCCTTGTTCACACAGGGAAATTGTAAACTGACGATAACTCATGATGGTCCACAAACAAACATTTAAAGACTTAATATTGGAATATTAAAGGAGTAGGAAAAGTGATACATGCATACTAGTATGAAGTCCATTGTGGCTGGACTCCAGGACTTGGTTAAAGGTATAGACTAAGGCTGCGACGGGTAGTCGAATGCTCGAGTACCCGCACGGTTGATAACTACTCGGGTACGATTTCTTGTACTCGAATATTCGGCCGCAAAAAAAAAAAAAAAAATTAAAAAAAAAAAAAAAATGTCCAGGCCCACGCTTACCCGTGCCAGGGAGAGCAGCGTCCGCTGGCATGGTACCGTCGGTAAAAATGTTTCCCAACTCAAGCACTGTCAAACTCACCTTTCAGAAACTGGGACCAAATGTCCAGATTTCTGTTTGGACTTGGAGGAAAATGGATTATTCTGCCATCTTTGGTTTTTAAAACAGCATTGTTTACTGTTATTATTCTTATTAAATCGGCGCCTTCAACTGCAACTCAAAGTAAAGTTGCATGCGTTTTCAGCGAGGGACCTGAGCAACTGACGAGTGGTATGGTAGTGGCAAAAAAAGAAAAAAAAGAAAAAAAATCCAAAAATCCAAAAATTCAAAAAAAATCAAAAAAATTCAAAAAAATTCAAAAAAAATCAAAAAAAATCAAAAAAATTCAAAAAATTCGAAAAAAATAAAAAAACATGGCGTCCGAATATTCGAGTATTCGCCTGTGAGCCTGGGAGTGTACTCGGGTACCTCATTACACTGTTGTGCACAGCCCTAGTATAGACCAGTTCTGGTCATGCGATTGCATTGTGAAAGAAACGTGGAATTGATCAGGAAAGGTTGATCATCTAGCATATAAGTATTAGTGTGTACTGCAAGGTTCTGGAATCCATCAAAATGATAAGAAATTTGGCCCAGTCTTGTTAAAGTTACAAGCACTGTACACAGAAAGATGTGGGACTGCCCTATATCTATTCAGTCCAGATAGATATAATAATTTACCAAATATATCAATTAGTAGGCGATTTTCTGGCAAAATTTTTATCATCACGTATTAGTAAAAACATATCCTTTCACATGATTAGTAATAAGAGCTTCCATTTCATTTTTTGTCTTTACCTTTAAGGGCTCTGTTAGGTTCTTAAATGCTCTGGTGCAACCTGATCAATATTTTGAAGCATATTCAAACACATTTTATGACATCATAAATCGTGAGATTCATAACCGGTGGCAACTTCCCTGAGGAACTGAAGTCAGTGTGAAAGGTGCTTCTGTATTTTCCCTGTTAACCCAGACAATTTAGCTCTAAAAATTCTAAGATTTTCACCGTAATGGGTTTGAAAGGGGTAAATGTATTGAGTGTTTCTCACATGTAAATTTGGGTGCGTTTAAGCTTCAATTTTGAAGGCAGAATGAGCGATTTGTAACGCTCATCGTAATCGCAGTTCCACGGTGTACTGTTTATGCTCACTTCTCTGGCTCCTCCAGGCAATTCTCCCTTGGTGGCCTTAATTGGTCTTGCAGCTGGATTCGCAACCTTGAAATACGCATGCTATGTAGACCATGGTCCATGCGTATACCCACTAGGTCAGTGCGTTGACCCCATTTAAACGCGTTTACAAATTGTAAACGCATCTTTTTGTGAGTTTACGATCGGCGATTGTGATCGCTGTTTTTCGGTGATTCTACAAAAGTGAGCATGGACGCAACCGTGTTTTAAACTAAACGCGTAACAGATGCCTGATTCTGGCCAGAAAAAGTTAAGCATAAACACGCCCTATAAGTCTTGCAATATTGAGCTGATTCCAAAGTGTCAACTCTTCAGTTCAACCTACAAAAGAACATCAAGCATACCGGTATGAATATGAGATTGTTAATCTGAATCTGTCAGAACAAGTCCATCATGAGAGGATTTAGGGTTTCACAGGAAAGAGAGGGACATTTATCATGTTTTGTTTTTAAATTTGTCTTTTCTTGTTTTTCTTCTCTCCAGTTCATATAAAAGCCATTGAGGTCAAGGGACTTATAAATCGCCAAAGTGACAAACGTCTTGAATATACTTTCCAGGTAAGCTTTCAACTATTTTTTTAAACAAATTGTATGTATTTATTTTCAAATATTTGAGGTAACAAGTTTTCAAATGGGGGGTCCAAAAAATATTTCGGAGCCCATTTACACAAAACCCTTACAAAAGTGCAGGAACCTGATCTAGAGGAGAAGGTTTTAAAACATTTGATACATTGTAGTAATATAAAAATGTGAATGCAGTAGTAAATAATTATTCATTGTGGTATGATATCTTCACCCTGACATATCTTTAAAAAAATTATCACAGGACTCTCTTTTCATTCACCAATAATAAAAAAAAAATTGCCTTAAAAGATAAAATTTCACGGCTTCTTGAAAGGTTGCATTAAAAAGATATATAGTTAAGACCTTTGCTCCTAGGCTCCTGTGTGTTTCTAATGCTATTTTCATTGCTATCCTTCCTTTTGGTTCAGTCTGTAATATCCACATAAGTATTTCCCTTGCTATGTAGTATGTACATGACATTTAGATTGGTTTTCAGTTCAATTCAGGTTGATCTGTCATTAAACCATTTTGTTGCAGCTGCAATTGTATTCCACCAGCCATCCAGTGCTATTATTATTATTACTCCTGCTATTAAAGCTATCTCAATCAGTATTTGATCAGATGCAGATTTGCTACTGGCTGCAGAAAAAAGTGTGTCAATATATGCTTACGACCAACAAAGTAAACAGTACTTGATGTCAGTCATATGACATGAATATTGCTTCCTCTGTACAAAGTGTCATAAACCTGCGAGTGGTATTTACACACTGTTGAGCCAGTGCTGCCCGCAGTGGCATTCGCAATGAATGATAAATGAGGGTTTTTTGTGGTTGAGGTATTATAGTCAAGTTGTATTTAACCTGGATCTTAAAGGTTATATGGGTTATTTATTTATGTTGTGATATGGGGTAGTACACTGTACATGGTCTCTCGACTACCTGATACAGTAGAAGTGCTTTGAGAGGGCCTCTGGTCCTGAAAAGCGCTATATAAGAACGAGCTATTATTATTATTATTAAGAAAACATAAAGTGCTTGCTCTCTCTTTGTGTTCTAGTGAGAGTTATCCTCATAGACAATCTGCATCTTGTGTGTGTATGTACTGCGCAACATTGATTTGTTAATATAGGCAAAATAAAATAAAACATGTTTAGCGTCCTGCCTTTTTGATAAAAGGGAAGGAGGAGGCCCTTTTCTTTTTTTTTTCTTTTCTTCTTCAATATGGCCACCCCTTGGACTCAGAAAATGATTTGTATGTGAAAGATGCAACAGAAAATGAGGCAAAAGTTATGATTGTATTGTATTTTATTTTAATTTTTTTCTGAAAATGATTATTTTTATCGGTTTTTTTCTTTCAATAAAAAAAAAAAAACGAGCGGGGAGGCTAATCATGAAGAGAAAAATATTTGCTTACATTGTTGATTCAAATTGCTGAATATTATATTTATTGATTGTATTTAACATTCTTTCAGACTATTGGCAAGAAAGTATTTGTATTTTTTGATCTTCAGTTTGGGATGTGCCAGTGATTTTCAAAAAAGTTGATTTTCAAATAACTAATATTTATCATACTTTTCATTAGTGGTTAAGGATATGTACCGTATGCTGGCTTGAGTAAGATAAGTTATTTACAGATCTAGTTACCATGTGGAGACTGTGCAATCAATGACACTCTTGATGTTCAAGTATTAATTTTTTTTTCAGGTTCATTGGTCGGATTCTACTGTGTCGTGTGTGAGTAAAACACATGCTCAGCTCTTTGATTTCCAGTGCAAGGTATGTTTAAGTATAGTCATGTTTTATTGTGATCAGGATGCCATAATTCAATTATTCTTTCAAAGGAAAAAATAAATTCCCAAGCTAAGAAGTGACAGTTACAATGTTACACGTCACAAATGTACATCATTCTGATTGATGTTTTAGACTTCTTTTCGAAAATAAAAACAATGGGCTAAATTCTGGCTTTAGCAGAGCATTGTATTAAAAAATTCAAAATTCAAAAATGGTTGGGAGAATTTACCGGTAGAGGTGTTGCACAGTGACGCTTTCAAAGAAAACCATAGATATCTTTGTGGTTTGAGAATTTTTTGCATGATAGAGGGTTAGTACAGTAGAAGGAATATGATAAGTAACATTTCATACAAAAATTACATTTTTTCATCAACCTTCAACAATGTTACAACTTACAAGTCACTTTAAGGCCTCTGATTTGTCACGCTCTGATTGGATTCTGTTGTGGCCATCTGAAGTGTTTTTGCTCCTTAGTGATGACGAATGGTCTGAACCAACATCTTATGCACTTGACTAGCACTGTAAAAGCACAACCAAAGTCTTTGTACGATACAACCTTCAGATATAATAGAGCAGGATCCTGATTCTTAATCAAGTTTTCATTCTAAACAATGCTCAGCCAGACATTTCACTATACAATGTTCGGTTATGCGACACTTTTTTTTTATACGACTGTCGTACAGCTACACAATTCTTGTTTAACTGTACAATGAATTTTGGAATTCTAAACACAGGGAAAGTCCCTTTGATTATTTTACCTGAACAAAATCTGTCTGTTCAGACTAGCTACTCCTATTCTCATGATTTAGAATTGTTATTACTATTTGAAATGATTGATAATTCATAATTAATGATTATGGTTAATAATTTATAATCAACAATACAGTCCATATTTCATCTTTATTATGCTTTTTCTGTGATTTCAGCTTGTTCAACTGTTTCCTGATGAAGCCAGCACTGAACAACAGGATAGGGTTATTCCTTATATTCCAGGTAACTTTCCTTTGTTTTGGTTCTTTTTTATTTGTATTTACATGTGAGTAGTCTCATATTTTGGTTATGATATGACTTGTATGTTGTCTATAAATAAATGGAAAGAAACTCTGTTCTTTCTATTCTCTTACCTAGTTTTCATATTTATTAACATCATGAATGTCAGAAATGAGCTAAACATGTCAGTCCAAATCTGTCTATTGTATTAAATTCTCATGTGACATCAATTTCATGTGTCACCTACATGCAGGTGATTCCATTTTAGAAATGATTTCCTATATCTCTCCTATTTCTTCTCTTGCCGGACGAGCGCAATGAATTCCCTTAGCATGTCTTATGTCGCAAACCCACAACAAAAAAGTAGCAAGGAAACATGTACATGTATGTACATGATCTCATGAATGCAGAGGCACTACTATACTTCCTTGTAAAATGACTCTTTTATTGATAGCAAATGTGCATTGGTGTTTTGAATTTTGAGGATGGGATATTGTGGGTTGTCAAACCAATTTCCAAAGGAACAGTTTCTATTTTGATTCATGCATCGTATGTCGTTATAAACTCCTGACAAATAGTAGAAAGGAAAACATCACATGCACATCTCATGAATGCAGAGGCACTACTATACTTCCTTGTAAGATGACTCTTTTATTGATAGCAAATGTGCATTGGTATTTTTACTTTGAAGGATTGTGGGTTTTTTCCAAAGGAAGTGGTGTCTATTTTGATTCATGCATCTTATGTTACAGACTCCTGACAAATAGTAGCAAGGGAAATATCACATACACATTAATATGCATGTTGAGGCACTACTGTACTTCCTTTTATTGACACTTTTATTGATAGCAAACTGACATTGGTGTTTTGACTTTTGAGGATGGGATATTGTGTGTTGTCAAAGAAACTCACAAAGGAACATTGTCAATTTGAATACATTGATTATTCAGGATTGTTGTTGATTGTTCAATATGCCTGTACCTGGCAACTGTTAAATGATTGTCGGAAATCGATTTTAGGCCAGTTTTCGTAAAACCTTGCAAACAGAATAAGGGGTTAAACCAGGTTTAATGTACTTAAAACAATTTTTATATACACACAATATCCTTATTTCTTAAGATATGCATGAATATATAAAGGATATTCAAGAAGCAGGTTTGTGGCTTTTAAAAAATGAATACCGTTATTTCACTGCCTGGAAAAAAGGAAAACAAAAAAGTCATATATATTTGTGTGAATGTGTGTGTGTGTGTGTGTGGGGGGGGGGGGAATCCCCAGGCTCATATTTTACATTGATATATTTACAGATATACATTGTAGTACATACGTATGTAATGAATGGTACATGTGTACCTTTAAGGCTAGGCATGACCTTAAGTTAAGATCATATACTACAGTTGTGATGGTTGAGTATGTGAGTGGAACTTCCCTCATCATTGCTTGGGGTAGTATATCTTGTCATTTAATGGGCCTTGTGGGATGGGAGAGGGGGTGAGTGGGTGAAGTAGAGAAGGCATGCATTGGAAGTATTTTATGGATTGACCTTCATCTAAGGTTATGAGCTTCCGCTGGGATGGTAAAGTATGTGAGTAGTTCTTCCCCCTCACCACCATTGCCTGCGTAGCATTTCTCAGTCATTGACTGGACAATGCAGGATCATTAGGCCTGCCTAGGCCTGTCCTCATCAGCTGGAGTTTGCCAAATAACCAGTTATTATCAGACTCGGGATATTATCCTGAAGCTCAAAATTGCGTTATCACCAGACCGATATGCTTATCAAAAACTAGCCCAGACAGGCGCAAATTAGCCCACCTAGCAAGATATTTTGGAAACGACCAATATTTCTCAGGATATTTTCTCGACCAAATACCCCGCTAACTGCAACTGTGGGATGATGCAAATGCAAATTAACTGGCTCGTTTGCGATCGGGACAGTTAAAATAGCGGGTTATTTGGCAAACTCAAGCTGATGAAAATGGGCCTATACGGAAATGGCATACAGGAATATATGTATGCATACCGGTATTGCAGGAGCAAAAACCTTTAGGTCGGAGGGTATGAAGGGGTTTGTACTTGGGTGCTTGCATAATAATAATAATAATAAAAACGTTACTTATAAAGCGCTTACCACCGAAGTCTCTAAGCGCTATACACACAAAATAGACTGATATACAATTACATCTTATACAAAACTTAAAATGCAAATAAACCTACAAATAACAATACATATGGAATACACATCAAAGTGAACAGAGATAATTAATCATCGAACGCAATTTTGAATAAATGTGTCTTGAGACTAGTTTTGAATAGGTTAACGGTTTGACAGTTTTTTACATTTAAAGGTAATTTGTTCCAAAGTTCAGCAGAAGCTTTGCGAAAGGAGCGATTACCATAAGAGAGAGTTGACACAGAAGTAGATACGAGGTTTAATTGTGAAGATGACCGTAAATTGCGTGAGGGTTTGTATTCCTCGATTAATTCTAGCAGATAAATTGGTGCCAATTCATGAATGCATTTATAAGTTAAAACTAAGATTTTGTACATAATGCGGTACGTCACCGGCAACCAATGCAATTCGCGAAGTACTGGGGTGATGTGTTCACAAGAACGTGTGCGTGTTACAAGCCTGGCAGCAGAGTTTTGGATTCTCTGGAGTTTTGCAATGTGCGACTCCGGAAGGCCATAAAGAAGGCTGTTGCATTGATCAAGACGGCATGTAATAAATGCATGTATAAGCGTTTCGGTAGATTTTTTATCAAGAAAATTTCTAATACCACCTATCTTGTACAAGGCATATGAAGCTGAGCGACAAATATTTTTTATATAATCATCCATCCTAAGATCATTTTCAAAGATGACACCAAGGTTACGTGCACTTTTGACAGGTTGTATCGGAACATTAGCAATTTCGACAGATGGTAAATGGGAGGACTTTCTGAATCGAGATGTTAGATGTATAACCTCGGTTTTATCCTCATTTAACTTCAAATCATTAGCAGTGGACCAAGCTTTGATATCATTTATACATCTTTCAAGTTTAGTAATAACAGAATGGTCGGAATCACGTTTCAAAACAACATAAACTTGGGTGTCATCTGCATATATCATTCGGCCTAAACCATGCGCTCCAATAATATCTTCAAGTGGTGCAGTGTACAGAGTAAATGATAAAGGGCCGATGACGGATCCCTGAGGAACACCTTCAAGTGGAACATGAGGTTTGGATAATGAGTCATTAATGACAATAGATTGTGAACGATTCATAAAGTAGGTTTTAAACCAATTCAAGGCAGTACCTGATACACCATATCTATTACGTAAGCGATCAAGAAAAACATCATGACTGATAGTATCGAAAGCCGCAGAATAGTCTAAAAGTATTAAAACAGCTTCATCACCTTGGTCCACAGCTAACAACAAATCATTATATACACGTAAAAGAGCAGTTTCAACGCTATGAGAAGATCTATAAGCAGATTGCATTTTACTACACAGATTGTTTGATGATAGATAGCCCTGAATTTGAGAAGCACAAGCACGTTCAATTGTTTTAGCAAGAAACTTAAGGTTGGCAACAGGCCGATAGTTTTTCAAAATTTCACAATCCAAATTTGGTTTCTTCAAAAGAGGAGTGATTTGTGCCGATTTCAAAACATCAGGAAATTGACCACTTTGAATAGACATGTTTATAATTTTGGTAATGACTGGTAAAAGCTCATCTAAACAGTTCTTAAGCAGCCATGTCGGCATCGGATCGAGACTACATGAAGTTGATGGAGATTTCATTATTATAACTCTGACAGTATTTTCTGATACTGGTGAGAATTCAGGAAATGAAGAATTGCATGAATCAAGCATGGATATGGAAACATCCGTTTTTGATGAATCCTTAAGAACATTTTTGATACTCCGAATTTTGTCTGTAAAAAAGTCAGAAAAACGTTCAGCAAGTGAAAGATCAGAATCGCCAGAAGGTAACACCTTGGGTACTTTTGGTGTGCACAATTTGTTGACTTTTTGAAATAGCTGCTTTGAATTACAACCTTCAAATTGTTTTGAATGATGGTTTTGTTTAGATTGTTTGATCATGCGATTATATTCATAACATTGGTTTTTGAAAATTTGTCTGTCAACTTCTAATTTAGAAGCAATCCAACGTCGCTCAAGGCGTCGTAAGATCCGTTTCATTTCATGTAATTTTTCATTGAACCAAGGTGCGTTAGGACGACACCTGATTGTGCGAGTTATTAAAGGTGCGTGCTTGTCTTTAAGGTCATTTAGAACAGAGTCATATTGACAAACCAAGTTGTCCAATTCAGATGCGGGAGATTTATACAGAGGTGAATTTAATATATCACTGCGAAAGACATTAATATCAATATCGCGAAATTTACGGAAAGAGATTTTGATTTTTGCTGGTTTGGGTCGCGCAATATTCAAATTACATATCACAGCAGAATGATCAGACGGCAAATAACTGGTAGTATTTAAATTTGAGACAAAGTTATCAGTATTTCGAGTTAGGATGAGATCAAGAGTGTGTCCATCTTTGTGGGTGGGTCCAGTTACATATTGAGTAAGTCCAGCGGCGGTTATGAGATCTGTAAAAATAGTAGCCTCCCTATCAGTCGAGTCATCTACATGAAAGTTGAAGTCTCCGGCGATGAGAAGTAAACCAGGTATAGATGCAATATCCTCCAAGAAGGTGCTGAACTCACGAAAGAAAATCGGTGCCAAATGCTGCTTATCTTTTGTTGTTTGAGGCCGATAAAGAATGATGAGGCGAAGAGGTTTTGAGAGTTAGATGATACAGCTAAACCAATATATTCAAAAGAATTGAATGATTGAAGTTCGGTTTTGTGAACTTTGAAGGTAGAACGAAGAAGCACACATACACCACCACCTTCCCTTCCAATACGTGGGATGTGATGTATGTCATAATTTGGGAGAGTTGTGGTAAGATCGGCAATGGGTGGGTCATCACGATAAGTACCTGTCAA